AATATTATACACAGACACCCCACATACACAAAGGTTGGTTCATCAAGACGGATTATATATAAGGGTGTTTCATTAAGACGGATCAAAGTCAGCTGTAAATAAATCGGTGTTAATGGTGAAAATTTATTTCTCTATTGGATTATGTTATTTAAGTCATGCAAATTATGTACGAAAAATAATATCACCCAAATGTCTGCCAAATCTGAAAGAAAAAGAAAAAATCATTAGATGTTTAAACTTAATTCACATTTAAAATCAATCCAAGTTATTGGAACACCTTATATATATATATATATATATATATATATATATATATATATATATATATATATAGTAGGACATGTTTGAACACATATATATATGTGTGTGTGTGTGTGTATGTATCCATTGTTTTGTAATGTTCAAATATGTCCTATCTATATATAGTTTTCTTCTCCATACTGATAGATTAAAAGAATTCTTAAATATATGGGCTAATTGGTGTATGACCAAAAATGACAAAATATCTTTGCAAAATTAAAAGAAATGATGGCAAGACTTTGGTTATATGCTAAATTATTATTTTGTTGCAATGTTTCATTATAATAATACAGTAAATGATAAAATATCTATTGTCAAGAATGAGAAGCAAGCACGATTGAAAGTAATGTTGACAAAATTGATTCCTTTAGCTTCATAAATTTAGTGAAAAGCTGAAACAGTAACCCATGTAGATTTTGACATGCTTGAAATGTCCGAAGTGTTTAAATTTATTATCAAACATTTTTTTTTTTTTTTGTGTTGTCTTATGAAGATGAATTACAGAAGAGACAAGGGCAAAAAATAACATGGCTGACAGAAGTAATAACATGAAACATTGTTGATTTAATTATTTCTGAAATCATTTCTTTCACTGGCCCAGGCAGGCTATCCCTGAGTTGTCAATCAATCATAATAAGCTTATAAGATATGCTTTCTACTTTTATTATTTTATGAGATGATTCAAATAGATGGCTATCCCTCTCCTTCCTCTCCATCTCTCTTATATATATATATATATATATATATACTGGAAGCATGTTTTCATTGAGACATGTTTCATTTAATAATTTAGACAAGTTTTGTCTACTTATTTCCAGTTGAATGCCTTCATATTCACAGACAAGCTTTTTCATGTCATTATTAAAGGAAGAGAGAAAGTCACTGGGTTGATACATGTTATTTTATTTCAAGTACTTTCGACATAGCACATTGTCATCATCAGGGTGTTGTTTATTTCAAGACAAATATTGTAGTGTTCTTTAATGACATTGTGCTCTGTCAAAATTACTTGGAATAAAATATGTTTCAATGCAGCAACTTTCTCTCTTCCTTTAATAATGACACTGAAAAGCTTGTCCGTGAATATGAAAAGATCCAATTGAAAATAAATAGACAAAACTTGCCTAAATTATTCATTGAAACATGTCATATATGTTAAATATAACAGAATGTCTATTATGTTTGATAATGAGCTGTTCTAAACTTTGGATGTTTGTTTTAGTTTTGGGTGAAAATAAAGACAAACATTTGGATATTTTTTATTAAGTTGGTCCTTGATCTAAGCTTTCGGCTCACATGAGCCATATTCAGAATGGTTATATGGACATTTAAACAAAGATGCTCATCATCAAAGATGGTATTCTGTTATGTTGACATAGAAGATTCCTAGATGATGATAAGTCATGGAATAGAAGATGCAGGTCATAAATTCATGACTTCATACCACATGAGAAACTGAAATATTAACAACAGAACCATAATGTAATGTGTTGTGATTAGTTTGAAATGTAATTTTGTTGAGTTTTGGTTGCTTCATTTTAATGTAGATGGTCTCCAATATCTGAAAGTTCTTTTTACTGTGTGTATCTGTGTGTATTGTTGTGTTATCAACTAATATCTGTCTAATATTATGTACATGGCTATGTTTTTCTAAGAAAATGGAACTAAGATCAGAAAGGTGACAGGTAAGTCTATGGGAGAGTGTGGTTGTAGTAAAACCAATATATGTAGTGGGTTTATTATTAGTATCAGAGATACAATCTCTGAACAGGCATGTAAATTAATACACTACATTGGTTTTTGTTAAGGATTTAGTTATGTGGTGGTAGGGTTATTAGAGACTAAGAGGTCAATTGTTTTAAATTTTTTATATGTTGAGCTTAACTTGTTTATTATTAATGAGTTTAACATTTCTACCTATTATGTTTTTGAGTGTTGTTCTGACGTGTTTGTAATTATTATGCATTTGATTACAATAGTATAAGTTAATAGTGTTATGTCTATTTTGACGTACACTGTTATTATTAATATCAATTTTGTTACAGGCATTATTAGGCTTATTGAGATACATTTTAATTTGTTAATCATTGATGCAATTAGGAAATACATTATTAACAAGTCTTTGTTTAATCTTATGTAATTAATAGAATATAGTTTTGGAAGAAGATATCATTTGTGTGTGTTGCATTTTTTTTATAATGGTTAACTTATATCATTGCGGACATTCACTATTATAATTAAGACATGAGTTAATGCTAGTGGGTTTCCTCTATAGAGAAGTAGTAAATTTATGTGTCCTGAAATCAATAAATACATCAAGGAATGGAATTTTATTAAGTTCTAGTGTAAATTTGAGTGACTTTCAAATTGGTTTTTAAGTTGTGTAATTTGATGGATATTTTTAGCTAAAATGAAAATGTCATCCATATATCTTACATAAATAGGGGCTTATTAGTGTCATTATTTTATTTTCAATGTGCCAAATAATTAGAAAAAAAGGAGGCCTAAAAAAGATCTCATTGCAATACCATCTATTTGAGTATAAATATTACCTAGGGGGTCATGAAAAGGTATTTGAGTGGTACATGTTAATAATAGTTTTTTAAAATTAACAAATTAATTACTCCCTACCTCCCAAGTAAATATTGTAGAGATTTTCTAAGTGTAGTTTAGATGTGGCACAAGGCCAAAAGTATGGGGCATCCAGTGGTAACTGATCTAGCAAGACAAGCTTGCTAACCATTACACCATGCTGAGGTGCCCCCAAGTAAATATTATATTCACAAATGAATTTATACAAATTCTTCATGCTGTAAAACAAAACAATCAAGTAATAGCATCTTTGGACTTACAAATTTTATTTACTAATATCCCCATTCATGAAATGATTGACATCATTATCCATGATGTATACAATCATGCTTCTTTCCACCCATTAACATTAAACCTGCTATTTTCAAAATATTACACACACACACACACACACACACACACACAATGATGAAACTGGAGACTTTAGAAACCCATGGTAATAGTTTATTTCGCAAGATCACATAATTGATCTCATCTTATCCGATCAAACAGTTTCACAGCAATAAATGAATTTTAAATTTATCCAGGCACAAGTGAAAAAGGAATTTTCAAATACAAGATGGCTTTTAAAATAAAAATTTAATAAGGGGCAAGGGAGAAAGAGTAAGGGGGAGAAAGAGAAGGAGATATGTATGTCTAGAGAAAGATATGTAGGGGAGGGGGAGTAATATAGGAAGGAAAACAGTTGTGGAGAAGAGCTGACAGGTTGACCTCTTTTCACTGGATGTGAGAAGTAAAGTAAAGAGAATAAGAAAATATATTCTAAAAGGAACAAAGGAAAGAGAAAGGAAGGAGAAAGAAAAAAATACTTTGACCTTTCTTTGGATTTATGGATATAAATTATCAAATATATATATATATATATATATATATATATATATATATACACACTAGTTTCTTAGTGTAATCTGTATTGTTACATATACTTAGAAATATATCAATAAGTCTGCAGTCTAATAATGAAAACCATATTTATTTTACACATCAGCTATTTATTTTTTTTGTGCAATCACCTTCCTTGTTAATGCACTTAATTCAGCAGTTAATATTTGTTGAAGAAGTGGGTATGTTTAAGTTGAATTAACCAAATTTTGCTACAGTGTTGTTCATTTCTATCCTAAATTCTAATGCTGAATGTTCTTGAGCAATTTTTATCCATAGCCTCATGTATGCATGGAACAGCCACTTTAAATTTGTGCTACCTTCTGTCCATGGAGAAGTTAAATATTGATCTCTGACATGTAAGAGTTTTCATTTCCAGCCATTGTTATAATACATTTTTATTACTTTCTATTGTCATAAGATAGCAATCAGTTTTTATTCCTTAATATAAATCATCATAATGAAAATATGAACTCTTCATATACAATGGATTGATTTGTTTTCTGTGGTTAAATGATTTTTTTTCTTTTTCAGATTTAACAACTTAAGTCTTTGGCAATTTCAACCATGGAAATATTAACAATCAAATAATGTGTTAAAGTTATTGAAGCCTATTATGAAAATGGACGTTCAAACACAAATGCATTTCACACGCTTCAAAATATATTTTTTTTTTTTGTCAACATAATCGACCAACCAAGAGTGCAATTGGAAATGATGTAATGTTGTTGTGGAGAGGATCAATTCCTGTACGCGATGATGAATAGAAGTTTGAATTTCAGCCACGTTCTTGTGCACTGCAGCAATGTTTTCAACTGAACAGTATAGACGAGCATGCAGTGATGTTTTTACATCTGCCGCTAACCCAGTATAGCTTAATTTACAAACAAATGTTCCAATTGCATTCTTGAAACTTTAACATGTTGTTTAATTTGTTATCTTTCCATGGTTGAAATTGCCAAAGACATAAGTTGTTAAATCTGAAAGGAAAAGAAAAAAAAATCATTATATGCTTAAACTTAATTCACATTTAAAATGGGTTCAACTTATTGGAATACCCTTTACAAGTTTTACTAATTAACCCATAGGTAGGGGGAGAGGTGGATTCATACCTTTCCCAAGAGTATTTGTGCATAAGTGAATATAACAAACCCAACAGAAATTGGAACTCTGCTCTCCAATTAACAATTTCATGCCATTATCCATTACACCACCTGCACATCCAAGCTTGCAGCACCTGGTATTCCCAAGTGGTCACCCATCTAGGTACTGACCAGGCTTGATATTGCTTAACATTGTTGATTATATGGCAACTGGTACTTCAATGCTATATCGCTGTAAGGTTTTTCATATTATCACTAAATACATAATAAAATATCTTGTTTATGTTGGAAAAAGTGTTGCAGTCATATAACTTTGCACTTTGTGACTTTACACTGAAATGATTTTAATATGGGGAAGATGTTGATTATGGTTGCAAGCAAAAGTGGCACATGTTAACCCATTTATACCCAAAGTCCAAAAATGTGGCAGTAGTGTATTAATGGGTGGAGCCCTATAATTAGTACTGGATTTTTTTTATAAACATAGATAATTCTACAAAAGCTCCTACAGCAGGTAGTGAAGGAAAGTAAGAAGAAAGGACTAAATATAAAATTACAAGAAGACCAACTGCTTGGTTACCAGCAAAAGGATGAGCTCAAAATACAAATTACTAATTGAAGATACTAAAATTAAATGAGTACAAAAATTTAAATATCTGGGAAGTGTTATAACAGAAGATGAAAAATGTGAGACTGAGATCTGATGACTTATTTGGTTGACCAAAGATGCCTTCCAAAAGTTAAGCAGAGTATTAAGAGATGGAAAAATTTCATTAGAAACAAAGGAAACTGGACTTTTACATAATATCAATCCTCCTATATAGCAATGAATGCTGGACAATCTCCTCAAAGATAAAGAAGAAACTTGAAGTAACAGAAACCTGATTCTACAGAAAGATGCTGAGGATAACATGGACTGACCATGTGAGCAACAACAAGGTTTTAGAGAAAATTGAAACAAAATGGTCAGTTATAATTGACATCAGGAAGATGTAATTGAAATTTTGGGGTACATAATGAGGAAGGAGGGGTTGGAAAATTTGTTACTCATAGAACTGATTGAGGGACAGTGGAAACAGCCCATAACATAGTTGATGGGCTTCAGTAAATGAATGGTAGAACAGGGAGGGTTTGGGAGACATAACAAAAAGACAAATCTTATTAATGTGGAGGGCCATGATCACCTGTCCTCAAGGGACCCAGCACATAAAAGACATAAAAGAAATTAATACTAGTTTTATATATATATATATATATATATATATATATATATATATAATTAATGACAGATTTTGAGGTGAGCATTCATGGGTTAAAAAGAAAGATAAAGTCACCCTGTGCCTTTGTTAAAGTGTATGTTTTCTTTTGAGCTTGAAGCGAATATTTAATCCTTATTACTACAAACTATTAATACTCCATCAATATTCCTTGCTTAACTGAGGAAATATCTTTTCTCATCATATATGATCAGACATTACTATTTTTTTTTTTTTTTTTTTTTTGCATCATTTAATGAAGAGCAGTAAAAATTCGGTGTCCAGAATTGGATTTCTCCTATTTTTATTTTATTTATTTTTTGTAAGTTTACATCCCAAAGTAAAATTAGTATCACTAAGATATATTTAGAAAACTAATCAACAACACCCAGCTGTCGATAAATGCTTGTCAATTCACTTGCTCATCAAAGTACACAAGCTGATTTACTTGTGGCAGGTAGTGAGTCGTTTGAAGTGGACTCTTACCTGTAGGAGCATTGAAGTAATCTTGTACTACAAGACTGACATGTTGTAATTCTCAATTTCAACTGGATATAAACTCTCTTCAACTAAGGTAAGGCAATAAGATTCAAAGTAGACTGACTACATTTTGATACCACATTGAGAATCATGTGTTGGTTTAAAATGCCTTCCAAAAGCTAAGCAAAGTATTAAGAAACAGAAAAATTTCATTAGAAACACATACTGAACTGTTATGTAATATCAGTCCTATATGCCAATTGCTTCACAGATGAAGAAGACTTGAAGCAACAGAAATGTGGTTCTGTAGAAGGATGTTGAGGATAACAAAGACCAAACATGTGAGCAACAACAAAGCTCTAGAAAAAATGGAAACAAAGAGGACATTTAGAAAGCGATATAGTTGAAATTTCTAGGGCATATAATGAGGAAAGAGGGTTTGGAAAATTTGATATTCACAAGGTAGATTGAAGGCAAGTTATAGAGGAAAACGATACATAATCTACCTAGTGAGCTTGAGTAAATGAATGGCAGAACAATGTTTAGTTGAGCTAACAAAAAGACAAAATTTATTAAGATCTACAAGGGACACGAAATTGTGGAGAGCCGTGATTGGCAATTTCCTGAGGAAACACTGCCTATACAAGACAACTACTGAATGGAAAAGTTAGCATTAGTAAAATATTAATAGTTATTTGGTGAGCAAAGGTGGACTAATATATGTACAAAGTTTTAACAGTTATATTATTGTTAGTTACTATCTAAGCAAGAAAAAGGAGCGTCATGGGTAAGACGATAAACTACGTCCAGCAGCAAGGCCTCTGATTCAGAGGCTTTGAGGAGTGTGGAACCTCCTCTTAATTGCTGGTGTTCCCAGGTACACCCTGACCTGGGGTGGTAGCAACTGATAGGGTCCCAGCTATGGGCAAATAGTTAACCCTGAAACTGAGGTAAAAAGCATTATAAAAGTGTAAAAATAGGTTTTAGTACCAGAAATAGTTTGTAAAAAATTATTACCAGAAATAAATTTTTGAAGAAAAAAAACTATTACCAGCAATTTGTTTTTGAAAAATAATATTACCAGCTATACATTTTTGAGGAAAAAAATATTAACAGAAATAGATTTTTGACAAAACAAAAAATATTACCAAAACAAAAAAACATTGTTGGCATTAAATGACGCATTAAGGTTAATATGCCGTAAAACAAACCAAACCAAGAAAAAGGAAAATACCAAGCTATTTTTTTTTATATAAGAATTGGGGAGCATGATAAATACTTAAAGAATCTAATAAAGTAAGAATTTCTTCACATAACAACACTACCAGGTCGAAAGTTTTAGAAGTTTCTACAAATATATATTTTTCTCATGCTTTGTGCAACAGGCTCCTGTCAGGAGGTTTTGTTGATCACTTCAATCTTGATCTCTTCATGTCTACAATTCACCATTATCTTTCTTACATGGGCTTATAAAATGCATTTCTTGCCTTACAGCACCTCACAGTAACCCTCTACCTTGAGTGGCTCCTGCGCTTTGTATTGAGTGAACATGCACTTGTCCTTTCTTACAAAACCTCACAGTAATCCTCTACCTTGTGTGGTTCTTGGGTCTTGTATTTGGTAAACATTCACTTCTTGCCTTATACTCATACAACACCTTACAGTAACCCTCTACCTTGAGTAACTCTTGGGCCTTGTATTGGGTGAATATCCATTTCTTTCCTTTTCTTATACTTCTACAATGCCTTACAGTAACCTTCTACCTTGAGTGACTCTTGGGCCTTGTATTGGGTGAAGAATAAAGTAAATAAAAATACAGGTCGAACCTCTAATCCATCTGTGCAGGTTGCATAATGGATAGTGGCTCAGAAATCTGAGCACTGAGTTTAAATTAGTCAGGTTATGTTATATTTACTATATTGATTAGTTATTTATGACTAATTAATGATTAATATTATATTCATTAACACGCATGTTAGGATGTGCATGTGGTGTAATTGATAGAAGTTTGGGATGAGAAATTGAAGGGCTGAGTTCAAATTCTGGTGGATTTCCTTACATTCACTAAGACTTTTGGGAAAAGTTTGGATCCATCCCCCCAGTTAAGAGTTAAATAGTAGGACTTGAATCTAGAGAAGTTATTGTTATTCTCAAAAAGCGTGTTAATGCATTTATCACTCACACAAAAACAAATTGCAATTTAAAATATGTTTTGGCTTTAAATAACCCACAAAGAGTTAAGTTGTAAAAAAGAACAAATATATTATTACAATACAATTTAGCTTTAAATAACCCAAAAAAGGTTGATAAGCTGTAAAACAAAAATTAAAAAATTTGAATCTGGCAAATCTGGTAAATTTTGATTCTGCTGCCCTTAGTTTGTGCATCTATTGCTCGAGTTCTTTGATTCATTTACAAAAAAAAAAAATTAAACTATTTCCTTAAACCAAAAATGTAAAAACTTAACTGCAGTTTGGATCCTAATTTAGTTGACAATTTGAATGTTTAAAGCAAATTAAAGTTAACTGCAGTTTGAAACATAATGGAAAATCTCTAAATTCGACAAGTTAAAGTTAGCATTAAATTAGACATGTACTTATTTTTTTTCTGAAACTTATAAATTATTTTTCATATAACCAATTAAAAAACAGAAGCAAATACTGATATAATTTATTCTGATGTATATTATGGGATGTGTAGTGGTTATCAGTACAGAAGGTGGAATCAGCATACTGATTATATATTCTAACCAAGTGTGTCTTCACTTTGCACTTATGCCCTTGGAAAAGGCATAACTCCATCTTCCTTCAGCTATGGGTTAAATAGAAGGGTAGACTAGGCTCTCTTTTCTTGAATGGTAGTCACTGCTGAAGGAAAAAAAAAATGAATTCAAACTGTGTTAAAAAATAGAACAGACTGGGCTCTTCAGTCTTGGAAGAATACCCAGTCTCTGAGAAGAAGTTTGACTTCAAGACCAGTCTAAAGAGGGATGGACTCGGTCAGGCTATCTTCCCTTAGACACACCACTGCTGCTATAGCTGCACTACATGTGGTGTTCCAACAACCCAAATGGGTTACAGAACTTGTGATTGTGAATTTATATTCTATAAATTCCATTAAAAATGTTTTTTTCCAGACAATTAGAAAAAACATTTAAGACTGCTGAAACTTATTACATGAGAATACTAGCAGTCTAACCTGTGTTTGTCCGGGTCTTTCATTACTGGGAAATTTTGCTGTTCAGTTGGAGCAGTTTAAGTTTAAAGTCAGCCCACCCAAAAATCAATAGTAGTAACAAGAATTGGGTGCAAATGAGGCACATTCCAAAATGGAGGTTGTGGGGTGGTGGTTAACAATTTGAATGGGGTGTGAAAAAAGTATAATAATAAATAATATTATTGTAATAATTTAAACTATTTATTTTTATTAACGTTTTTATGAAGGATATATATCCAAGAACAGATAGTAAATAATAAAATGTTGCTGAGAG